CATTACGTTTTCACTCGCATCATATTCTACTTATAAGTAGCGCGCACCATACCTATAGTGATTCCACTATCGTTACCATCACGTTTATTATTCACACCTCTCACACTATTATTAGGCACATGAGGTTTCACCTCAACCTTGACGTTGTTGTTTTCCACATTGATGTTTCGACTCTTCACAGTTAATGACGAGTTGCAATATAGTTCGCGTGCAGGTTTTAATGGTAAGCTACCACTGCTGCCACTTACACTAACACTATCGACACTGCTATGACTAGTCGGACTAGTATGCGACCGTCCATTAGTCGACTGCAAACAAACATCAGCAGGACGCGCTAAGCTGCTATTATCTTTCGCTTCACTAATTTGATACTCAGTAGGACTAGATACAGTAGCCGGCAGACATCCTGATCGCGCAGCAACATGAAGTGCTGTGTCACTGTTTAGGCTTGCTATCCTAGGATCAGTTCTAGGTCGTGTCAAATAATTTACCCAACACGAAGGGTTCCGAACATAAGCTTCATTCCATGCAGTCAAACCCGTTTCGTCCTTATTTCTATTTTTAGTGACCTCAAATATATTTGAATTCGCTTACATTTTATTTGGTCAAGCCTTTCGGTTAATTTATTTAACCAAGCCATATTTGTATAACAATAACTTATATGTACCATTGGCCTTTATTTTTGTGTGGTTTGTAGAATTGGTATGACTGGACATTGTGTACACCTGAGCACATATTCATCCTATTCGCTTTAATACTAATCTCTTAAATATCACGATGACTCAGATATCTTCCTTTGTATATATACGAACATTTTTATCTTATCAATACATTCGCACATTCACTCGCTGGTGTGTCTGCTCGGTCTGCTTGTGGTCTGCTATCCTTTTTGTGGTGTGCCACAATAAACGTATTCAATACTACGAGTTTACCTTCTGATTTATTAACCGTCAGACGCCATTTAATAACGGTTGTCTGAACGAACTTATTACGAAACTTAAGAACACCTCGAAATCGGCACCCTACATATTCACTGCAGCCATTAACCTCTGTTTGCTCGAATCCAAATTACCATTCCTTGCATTTCGAGCATTTAGGAAACTTCTACCGTCACATACCTTGGATCTATCTTGATGCCTAACCTTTCTGCCTTTGTCCTTCTTCGTCATCCTCACAATAGCCATCTTACCTTCTACAGATACCGACTTCTCACTAGGATACACATCAAGGGATTTTAAATCATAAAGCTTACATGCTCGGTCTTCAGGAGGAAATACCTTGCTAATACAATTAACGACTCTCTTAACTTCCGGGCGTGAGGTAGGTGCAAACACATTCGAAGAATTCCCATGTCCCACACGCAGATTACTAGTCGCTTCCATATCATGTCCTGTTTACGTGCGATTAGCTAATCGTCCAAATCTACTACTAGCTACCCTTGCAGGAGAAAAAATAAACTCAGTCAATTCATTGAATGTAGGCAGTCCATCATTTTCGTCCAATTTAATTTCCAGCTCTGCTCACAGGACTTGCATACGATGAGGTAGTAGCCTAACTATGCTCTCTAATGGTACTAAAGAATTCAATTCAGCAGCACAGTTTGACTGTTCCAGAGTCATAGACACGTTCTGCATCTTAATTGCTAAATTCGACAATTGCTCTGGATCGTTATAATCAGCATTCCCAGATCTAAACAAGTCTTCCAAGGTTTCACGAGCGATTACGTGCGATTGTCCGAAAAGCTGCTTTAGAATGTCTTTAGCCCTTTTGTAGCCTGACGAAGCTTCCATCATTGAACACCGTTCAACGGCAGCCTTTGCCTTACCCTTACAGTAATGGATTAAATATGATAAGCGCAGATTATCATCAATAACTCTAGGTTCTATAAACGTATCGAACTGTCTAATAAACCTAAAGTAATCACATTGTCGGCCGTTGAAGTAACTGAGTTCAACCTTTGGCAATTCTAAGCCAAATACCAGTGTCCTAGACATCAAATCTTTCCCAGGTACCTCTAAGTTCTCTTCCAAACTACGTCCTTTAGTAACCTCTAACGATAGCTTACGACAATATGTACTAAACATATTATCATGCTTATCAGAGAGTGAACCCCTTAAACATGAAGTATCATAAGGTACATGCCTTACATTCCGCGATTCTTCATGGGCTCCACCCATGTGCGTGTTTGACTTCTTACGAGAACTCATTATAGCAATTGAAATTCAACGGAAAAGAAACTCCAAGTTATTGAAACAACAAAGATAAGATATTAAAATTTCACCGGTTCCGTGTCTTCAATTATTGTCGACAATAAGACATGCAAAGTATTTTTCTCCAAGTATCGTTCAGAACCAATTGGTAGTAAAATATCCAAAAGATCCTCTTCCAAATATTGTTTAGAAATAGTAAACGATAAGAAATCCAAAGGATCCTCTTCCAAGTATTGTTTTGAAATAGTAAACGACAAAAAATCCAAAGGATTCTCCTCTCAATATTGTTTTGAAGTGCTAAAGTTAATAATTTACTCTTGCAGTTCGTTTCTAACCCGCAAGGTGTAGGTTCATACGCGTCCCGCCCAGTCCAAGTCCAAAAACGATCATTCTGGGAGAGGACGTTTCAAAACAATATTACACCTTCCAGTTTCCAATTACCACAATAGGTTCCGTTGCTGGAAGAATAAGTGCTTCCAGTCAGTTACTGCTAGAGTATCAAATCCGAATATGGCTGTAGCCATATTAAGTATCAAATTTAAACAACACACATATAGTTCAGAAGGAAACATGGAAACTTCAATATATATACAAGATGTAGAAATAATAACAAGATACAAATGATCAAATCACAAAATGGAATCAAATACAGTACCAAAATATCAACAGAAAGAGTCAGTCATATCATAGCACAAATATATATACATGGAGGGATTTTCCAAAATTAAAGCCTTCAAAATAGATTCTGCAATTACATTCAAAGCTTTATAGTCTATTTAGAATTTCTGAAATTGAAGAATATTTCTGAATGAAATCGATCCGTCAACTTATTTAATAAACCATCGCAGTAGTCTTGTAAAATGTTTATAATTAGCCTTATAATGAATTCTTGAACAAAAGGTTTTACGATACTAACGTGTGAACATCTTACATAAATATCTATTTCTATGTGTTCACTCGTATCTTCTGACGAAAGTGACTTCAAAGCAAAGATTTATTGATTACAATAATGGTAGTAATAACAACATTTTCTTGTGACTTTAAGTTCAGATATAGATCAGTATCCATATTTGAGTATTTCTAATTCAAATACACTTTGCTGCAGAATGACTAGCGATTTGGTACGTTCAAAGATTCACGAAATTCTCGTTCCCGATTCATTGTGGTACAATAAAATTTTCTCATCGATCGTAAACATTCTAAACTCCTTAAAGATTTTCTCACAAAGAATACATAAAAATTAATTCTCCATATAGACGGGATTAACACATAGGCTTACATCCAGCAAGTGAGTTCACTTCAAATTCATTTTACACAGTGCTTATGCGTAAAACGCAAGCGCCATCTAGAAACAATACATGGAAATTATCCTTACTCAATTTCTCTATCGTTTAAAAAAGAAACAAGAAATACTGAATGGTTGAATAACTTGCCTAAATTAATTAAATCTTTATTCAAAGCAAAGAATAGTGTACAAGCAACAAACAGTAACTCGATACTTCAGTCAACACAATTCAATGGATCCGAAGTATTCTACGTAGACGACTGGGTATAAACACCCGTCTCTTATGGATGATGACTTTTGCGGTTCTGCCCCGTACAGTAGAACTGTCTTGACGTCTGTGTCCAAAACCGTGACTTTAGTGTTGGTTAATAGTAGTTTTGAGTTCCGGGAGTTTCTCAGTCGTAGAAACACCGCACTTGATTTGTCAGTCCGCGACTTCTCTTCTGCGTCAGATCCACCTTGCTAATCAATGACTTTGCCCTGGTATATGAAGGTTTCCACATTCTCCAAAGCTTCTCCGTCAAGTGTGATTTGGTTGGTTGCATGTTGTGAGGTATCGATATACCTAGCTTTCTTCCTTGTGTATCACGAGACATGATGCTGCAGAGGCTGCCGCTGCACTGGTCGTCTTCTCCTGCAATTGTTGTTTCGTGTTAAATGTATCAATCGGTCTCCGACAACGTGCGAAAATTCCATGCACTTATATTAATGGTTGCTCCAGTTGTCAGTAGGGTTATCGTTCTCCTGACTTCCGAAGAAATTCGGATTGTATCATGAGGTGTGGGAACTGATGTCAATGAAGACCTACCAACTCTCATGGCATGGGCATAAATGACCTGAATTATTTGTCCGGGTTAGTTCATTTTTAACGATTTGGTTTTCTACGAGATAGTGTGACTTTGCTGATGCCCATCGCTTCTCGTTTATGAGGGTTTGCGACCGACAGTAATTGTAGAAGGGCTCTGAGCGTGGTTTTTATTAATCACGGTTATAAATAAGGGTTTCACTGATATTTTACCAATTAAAAATCGATACTCTAAATGACAATTTTTTTGAAGTTCACACACAATAGAGAAATACTTCTACTTTTAGAGAAACTTAGCACACTCTCTAAATATTTTAAAAATATGTGCTAATTAGCGTTGGTTTTGTGCATACCACATGATGTTATAATATCAAAATTTCAGTCACTATCGCAATAATGTCAGCGTGAAATAATATATTAGGTATCACCAAGCCAATGGAAGTCAGCCTTATTGCTATCTTAAGGTTAGTTGTGTCAGTCAGATATCACCATTGGTTGAAGCTATCAACGAAATTGAAAACTGAGAGTTGAATCTTCGTAATCAGAATTCGGATTGGCGAATTCTTCAAGTGCAATCGACCAATGATTCAAACATAACAGTGACTGACATGATAGAGTATAAATTGTCAAGCGATATTCAATTATGTGCATTTGTAAAATGGGGACTTTTCTCGGACATCTTTATCCAGGACTACTTATAATGACTCTCGGATTGCGCAATCTGTGGTTTTTATTGAAATCATATTACAATCAAGGGTATAATCTCAACCCAGTGAAGCCTGAGACCGAGTATACTTTGAATGGAGTAAAGAACTATCGAATATGTCATCTTTTAAAAAGACTTCTAAGCGAACCCGTGTTATGCATTTTGGCTGGGATAATATGCGACGTGTATGAAATAATTTCTGGTTATTATGATGGACACCTGTATCTTGGACCACATAGCTATCAACATTTTACAATCTATAATGCAATACTACTTCATGGTTTAGCTCAAATTCTTCTTTCTTACAAATTCCCGCATTCATCCAAGTATGTTGAATTTTATTGCTTTTCACCGTTTAGTTTAATAAATACAGTTGAAACAGTTTCAACCGACTGATTCACAATGTTCAATGTACAGTTATTCAATACAAATATCAACACTAGGATACAAGTATTAGACAAATATTTAGACTACACTGGTTACATACCATTAACTTGGTAGTGAAAAGAATACCTTTATATCTGTTCAAGTCGTTCATTTCTTCATGGAAACTGGCTTAGTTTAGTCATATTTACCAAATATCAGAAAACACAAACTGTTATAGCTAATAATTGAACTAATTATTCTTTAATACATGATAATGCCTTTCAAGTGACCAGTAGGTGATGCAAATCAAGCGTTCTCGTGTCTCAAAACTGTCTACTAGAGAACAGCTTATTGATTATGAAAGTGAGCTAGATTGTACATACAATATACAAGTTTAGTAATTTCTCTTGTAGTTCCTCATTAAGTACAAAGTCTCTTGTTGCGGATGTAGTGATCAATCACTGAGCCTAACTATGCGATTGACGAATGTGTACACGATGAAGGTTGACTACTCAGTTATGCTCCAAAATCAACAGTCATAGCACAAGAAATTACTTTTTTCAAGTTAACCTTGTCCATGGCCGTCAATAAATAAAGATTACACTGTAGAACTAGTTGACTCCAATTACATGGTATACTACTATTAAGGCATTAGAGCATTCAATTTCATCAATATAATTTGTTTACCAAATCGTATAACTATCGTAATTCAATATTTTTGAAAATCGAATTTATTGATTAAAGTATTGTGCATTTACTGCTTAATTTTAGAAAACTTTCTAGTTTATTTTACATGATGCTGGAATTTGCTATACTTATTTTGCTGACGTTTCATCTGCACGGACGAACTGCATTCGATACACATGTACATATTCTTTTGGTCCAAGCAATAATATTCGCAGTTATATCAAACTTTGCAGAACTTATTTCTGATTATAATACAATCTTCAGTTTGATACACAACTTTTGGTACGTTTTAGTTGGTGCATGGCTTTGTCAGGTGAGTTCTATAGTTTTTGTCAGTCTAAGATGTGTTTCGACCTCAGGGTAGAAACAATGAGATTCACACGATTGAATAAATTTTTCCGTGTTGGGAAAATATATCATTTTTGTTATTGGTTTTACGATTTCCAACAATAGTATTATAATCAGCATAAAGATTTAACATATTACTTTAACATGAAATTTGAACGAGTGTCCAAAACTAAACAAAATCGAAAGACATAAATACTGACAATTCTAAGAATAAACACAAATAAACAAGTGATCACATTGTCATGTATCATAAGAAAGTCGAGATGAACTGATGAAATCATCCAATTTGGATAGTTTCTGTATAGATTTATTGAGAGGATCAGTTGTACAAGTGTGATATTATCAATGAATGATATTTTCTAAACAAATTCGCTCGAGATTAGGCTATCTGCTAGTGTAATCAATGCACAATACAGTTGTTATAATTTGACATAATTTTGCATGCTCAAGCATGCTCAACCTGAACAAGTCAAGAAAATGTAGGAAGCTATGGCAGACAAACCAACTGAAGTGTACACAAAATATGAGTACACAAACATACATTATTCTGACATTAACGAGGATTATTAGAAGGCAGAAACCTTGAGAATGTGCATAACTGACTCCATCGAGTAGTACGTCTTGCTTGTTGTCTCTCAGTTACCCATTAGACTTGAACTGGTTTGCGAACACAGAAATATGTTTCATGGTTACTGGAAGCATTGGTTATTTTATTGCTGTATACTAATGCACTATCTGGAAAAATCTTAGTTAACGATGGAGAGAAACACATAAAACACATCCACTTCACCAAGCTTTATTTATCGTGACAAATCAACTCCTTCCAAAACATAAACAAAGGTGAGAAAGGTGCTTATCTTCGAGTGGATATTTCATTGAATACAGTATGACAGTGATTAAGTGTAAAAATTTATTTCAAAGTGTTCACCGAAACTTCAGATTCCATATAATAACTGCATTGAACATGTAGGTCAACTGATATGTTTTGCGCCTTCATACCATTAGTATTCTTTGTTCAAAATAACCATTTTCATCTAACCATGTTCGCTTGTATTCACTTTATTATTATGATGATGATAATGATACGTAGTTTACATTTGCTTCTTGGTAATCAGATTGGATTCGACCTTTATCCACCATGGAGTTGGTTACCTATGTGGGATCAGGATGATACAAAATCGATCGTACATGTGAATAACATTTTCTCATACCATATGATAATAATCAGCTTGGCTATAATAATTATTATGTATATTTTGAATCCGAAACGTGAGTATTCTTCTGAACAAAATCTACGAGAATCCTCTGTGAAACAATGTTAGTCATGATCAGTTGACGAGTATCGATCATGATCGAAAATCATTAAAAATGACAATCCAGTGATTGATTATTTTCCATACATTTATTTTTGTTTAAAAGTTGATATATTTTTCTAATGACAATAAATGTAACAATATCGTTTGAACGTCGTTCTTTTTAATAATTCCAGTTGTTGAAAGCCTTTATTCTTGTAGCGTGTCGTGTTTCACTAGCGGTTACCACGACTGACTAATTACGTTTCTGTAACAGAGAAGGTAAAATAATCCATACAAAAGATTATATTTGCTGTCAATTTCGTGGTTTCGAAAGAATATCAATATTGTGCCAGGAAAGAAGGGCGAAAAAAGCAGAGAGAGTGAAGCCATAAAGTACGCAGGACGTGGTAAGATAACGAATAGGCAAATAATCTCATGAGTAGAGGGGATTAGAAAGAAATAAATTGGTATAAATAACGTTGATTTACAGGATATAATAATGAAAAAAACAGTGATTTAATGTTTTTTTGTACTTAATTTGTTGTGTTTTCTAAAGCTGTCGCTCAAGAAGTATCGAGTGAGCATTTTTTCAATATAATTGTATAGATCAGCGTGTAATAGGATTTCTGGTTACGAAGTGAAATCACTTCAAGAATACAAATGTGAATCATAGACGTAGTTAAGATGGAAAAGTAACATCACTATCTTTAATTAGTTACGTGCTGCTATATTGTTGGGAGCCTTAAGCAAACAAAATATCCTGCCTTACAGATTGAGGTTAGCACCCTAACGTAATGAGTGCTGGTCAGATTTTTGTAAAAAATTCAGCAACAGATAGCTAACAAGTTAGTTTTTCTTTCTGTGCAAAACCACGTGCAGGATTTAGTTTGTCCTACAGATGTACTTCTAGAACCATAAACGCAATATTGGCGGGCACAGAGTCTGTGGGAAAGCTATTGTCAGAACAAGATCAATTTTGCTTTAAACTTCATCTGTTTCTAAACAAAAAACAATTAAATTAGTACAATAAATAAGGAAATTACAATTATCAAGTAAGATGAGCAAACGTACCGACTAATATAGCCTGTCTTATGGAAATGAATAACTCCGCCAGTAGAACCTTCGGGGCTACTGCCGGTCCCAAGCCCGGATAAAGGAGGAGGGTTGGACATGGGGTTGGCGACCCCATTCCTTTGAAATCTCACTTGCCAAAAAA